TCATGAACAATCTATGATCCAGAAAGTATCATATACTTCATCGGGATCACATTATGATAATCACAATATAATACCCATGGTATTGATAAGCTGAAGAGAGCCGAGTCAACACCACATATAAGTGCCAATACTTTGAGTCAGGCATCCATTGAAAAAACTAAAAATTTATTAAATCAGGTGGTTGAACTAACTCTTTAAGAAGAGAGTTGAAGGTGGCAATAAATGGACATTCTAACCAAGCTGAAGAATTATTGTTCAAAAAATCAATAATATCACCGCAGCCCGAGCCTAGTGGATTAGACATTTTGAGTCAGGTAGCTCAGGATATGCTTGGACGACGTGCGAAATTATCTCAAAAAGTAAATCAAAGATTGATTACGTTACAACCAGTAAAAGTCGACGAAAATATATCAAAATTAACATTTGTAATCAAGAAAAAAAATTCAAAGTACAAGAACAGGTATTAAATTTAATTATTATTATTTGTAGGACGATTTTAAACGTACCCGATGGTCACAATTTAATTAATTTTTATCTATCAGGTGATGAATCTATTTCAACCAAGTTCAAGAAATTGTAGAATCGTCAGACTTTTCAAAAGAATCAAAGGCACATTTTGTACTATCAATTCAAAAATATGCTTTAGCGTCTTCCAAGAAGAATTTGTCGAAAAAGTTACAACCTATTGTTGATAATTTACAATCTATTTTAACGAAACGAATAAATTCCCGCCTTACACAACAATTAAACTTCGTTGCTCAAAGACAAAAATAGAGTGGAAGTACAACAAAACAAAAGTGTAGATAACAGATATTGAGTAAAATTAGTGATTAAAAATTTTAAAAATTACACTATTTTTAATTAATATTAATTTATTACAACTTCAAAAATAAATAAAATGTAAATATGATAATTTGAAACGAGATTGATCATCACAGGTCCCAAGTAAGGTATGGATGGGAAAATTAACGGTTAACCGGTAATTCTATTGTTACCCTGTATTAAAATTCATTATCTTGGCAATCAAAAAAAAATTTAGCATCTGCATTTTTGAAGCCAGAGAATTAAAAATTTCTCGGCAATAACGCACGAATAATTTATTGTTTGTGAAAATAGATGCGGAAAAAATTAAAGCTTTCACTTTTCCTTTGACTATCGCGTGATGCCAACGTTTTCATCACGTGCTTTTGCGCCAAATTAATTGATCCTTTATTCTTTAAAATCTTTAAAGATAATTCATTCTTAACAATCATAAATGCTTCATATGAAATAACACATAATGAAAGGATTAAGAGAAGAAAAAATTAGAAAACTATATTAAATTCTACGTTTATTTCACTACACAGAGTGCATTAACGATTAAACGCATAACCGAAAGGTGCAACGTCGATTTGCCCTCCCAAGGTTAGCTTATGTATCACGAAGGCAGAAACACATACGTCTGGAATACCATTCTGACGGCGAACCCTATATAAAGAAATGGATTTAAGAAAGCGGGAGAATATAGGTGTAAGGGACTCAAAACATATGAAATAAATTTTTTTTAATACCATAGGGGGAGGTTTTCTTCACAAAATCCAAGATCAATGTTTGTTCGAAACAAAAAAACGGTATTTTGTCCCAGGACATCTGTTCCTCCGTTTGCTGTAAAATGGGCTACAATCGCATTAAGTGTTTGTCCAGCAACACCATTTCTACAGCCAGGCATTGCGGGAACATCGTTGAATCCTGGGTCATTCCATTGTACAACGATTGCTGGATCATCAATTTTCATCATGTTTTTTACGGCGTAAAGCACATTCGTCGCGATAGCGTTGTTTTGAAGCACGTTGGGTAAAGCCGAAGGCACTAAATAAACATGAATATTTAATAATTGCATCCAATAATGGATTATCCTGCTACATACCTATACCGCTTTTTCGGGCAAGTTTTTGTACGGGTGTTTCGTTATCTACAATCATAAGAAATTTACTAAATATACGGTAACTACTCGTAATATTGATATTGAAAAAAAAAATACTTTTACGGAAAACCTTTAAAAATGTCATTTTATAAAGCGTATTAAGATGCGAGAGAGAATGATCGCAAAAAAAAAAAAAAAAAAAATTTTATATATCATTATATTTATATAAAATGTTTTATTGAGGATTTGATTTATTATAAAAATACAATGTGGTAATGATTGTCATTATTTTTTTTCTAGTCTAAAAAGTCAAATTCAGTCATGTCTGAAAAAAAAAGTCTAATTCAGTCATGTCGAGAAAAAAAAAGTCTAATTCAGTCATGTCTAGAAAAAAAAAGTCTAAACGAAATCACAGAAGCTATCGCAGTTAGAATTTGTTCACGAAAACGACTTTTATTCATAAAAGAATTAAATATCAAAATCATTACTTCGCTATTTACTTCTTCAGAACAACTTGTGTTCTACCAAGATGAAATTTATTAAAAATTGTCTTGTTTTAAGAATCGATTAATCTAAACGAGAGGTTGTTTTTGTTGCTTATTTCAATGCGGACTTGCTTTTAGATATAATTCATTCAGTATTGCGAAGATTTTATTAATAATTGGAAAATGCTAAAGAGTGAAAATGCTCGTCGTGAAGTATTAACACATTAGAAGCTAAAGTGTCTTGTATCATTCGAGGTAAACATAAAAGAAGGATTACGGTTGATTTGTGGTTGAAAGATCCATACGTTGAGGTATTTATATGTATGGATAAAATATATCAATTTCTATAAGTATGTATAAAAAAAAAGACCCCTCCCCAATTATAAGAAATTGATAATAATCAAGCATTGATTCCTTATAATAGATTTGCAATAATTGGCAGAGCTACCGTAAAAATATTTTCGATAATTCGTAAATTGATCTTTCTTATATTAATCATAATGCCCCTCTTTTTAACAAGAAAAACAAAAATTAGCTTTGATTATTTGGCGACTTCAACGTTCGGTTTATTCTTAATCATGTGATTAATTTTTCCTGAATAAATTCGGGAGGCAGATCTCTAAATCACAACGCTAAAATTTTTCTTTCAAGAGATCTTCCAAAAAATTTCGAGCGAGAAGGAAGCTCGAAACTATAAAGATATCTGAGAGCTTCGGTTCCAGTTGAGCTGAGGGATAAAACGGGAATTTTTACAGGAAATTCTTCATGATGATCAAGAATTAGAATATCTTAATGTGTTGAAAATTAGCTCGTCGGCGGAAGATTTTCTTTTATTACCTTCCTAGTTATATTGATGTGGATTCGATTTGTTCAAAAGGTGGGAACATGGGTGTGACGTTTGATTATAATCAATTTTAGAATTTCTAATTAAAAAGCTATTTATTAATCATAATTTGTCGCTTCTGACTAATTTGAAATATTGTCTAGGACATTAATATCTACTTCACACTCAAAGAAATTCAGAAATAAATTAAAAAATATTAACCTTAGTAAAGACCCATGATTTTAATAAGCCCTTCAGGAAACTCAAATGAGAAATCGCTTCTTTCGCTTTAATTTATGTATTCACTTTTTCGTATATATATTTCCTCAATCTATATAACCTTTCTTTAAAACTTTCTCACCCTTCGCATCACAGAAAACAAATTTGCAACACAAAAAAAATATATTGATTTCTCTTACTTTAAAAAAAAAGATTTCTATATTCACGAAGAAATTTACGGCTCAAACAATATTTTACTAGTGTAAATTTGGTTTTTCCCAGACATGACATTAGACTTTTTTAGACTAGAAAAAATAAATGACAATCATTACCACATTATATTTTTTTCCACGATGTTATCAATCGTATGACCGAACAATTGCAAACTTTTTGAGTCTATATATTTCGTCATAACAAGCCATCAATCTACTATATATATAACAGTCAGTCGAGATGTCCCATTAACTGCTAATCCTTAATTGTAAATGTTGTATAACCTTATTTCGCGTAACTTCCCATTTAACATATAATTTACAAACGAACATAATACTTAATAATTCTATTCTTCAAGCTTCAAATTACAATATTAGCA